ATATATAGCAACTTTGTCTATGTTAAGGAGAAAAGTGTGCAAACCAGTCTGGGTGTGACATCACAATTTAACTACCCATTAAAAAGTTGAAGTGTTAAAGCAGCACCAATATTTTAGGACACAAATATATACAGGGCAGCTTGGAGACTGAATACTCTATACAGGTATCATTTCTATGCTCAAATATCTCCCATGATGTTAGGAGGGGCTGTGAGGTGTCTTGTCCATTCAGAGCTGGCTTCTCCAGTGTATGTTAATGAAGCTTATTAGATAAACACAATCCTCATATTTCTGTCCCAAGTCTTTCTATAAGGAGGACAGACCACTATGAAAGGGCAAATAAAAACCTGGAATCAGCCATGTTGCCTGCTTTAACAAAACATCTAAAAAAGTAAGAATTTTTTAAAAGTATATTTTCAGTATGCTGTGTGAATAGGAACACATAACGAACATATGGGAAGGTTTTCCTAAATTTGACTGCAAAAGTGGAAATACACTTAATTTGGCAGCTTGAAGCACCTTATGCATTAAAGTTATCACCCAACTCATTGGCCCCTCCCCATAAACCTTTTATTTCTATGCCAGCCTTTATAAATGTCACAGTTTTAGAGATTGACCATTCGATTTCTCAAAGAGTGCAAAGACCTTCCTTTATAACACGTTTAGGTGCAAAAATCTGAAACCCAAACTTCGTTTAAATGTGTAGCACAATCAACCCCTTTGGTATGTTTAAGGTGCACCATATTATTCCTGGTGTTAAAAATACAAACTATTCGGGATAAAAACTTTACTCCTCTACAGTGTTGCAGCTATTATCTGCAACAGCTGTGACAGATTCCCTTTCTCTGTCAATGCAAACCAAACTTCAATGCGAGTCAGCATTTGTTCAAGAAAACACTTTCATAATAGCCACAAAGCCCATAGAGGATACTTCTGAACTGTGTTCTCTCTAGTGACGGTTATATTTGTTTAGGGAGAGCACATGAATCATACACTGAATTGCACAGAAGCTCACATCCCACATTTTGGGAACTTGATGACCTTTTAGGGCAGTGTTTATATACTTTGTTAACCGACGGCAATGGATTACCAATTTCCTAATATATTACACAATCTTGTAGATTGAGGTCATATTTGGGACCCATTAGTAGCCAGACTGTACCAGCCTTCTTTCTACTGTAGCAGTGTCACAGTGCATCTAAATCTAAAAGCAATGCAGCTCATCAGTGCTTGGATGCCTTCATTTTTTTTCTCAGAGCTTACTTCATTTACACCTGGTAATGCTGCAAATAAAACGGCCCCCTACTCCACTGTATGTATGGAGGGAGCCATATCACGGACTGATTTATTCATCACAGGGATTAACTAATTTGTTGGATAAGCTTTGTGCAACCTGACAAATTAAATGGGGGGGGAAAAAAAACTTTTTAACAAGTGTCCACGTCAATCTATCAGGCTCCAAAACAGCACTGTGTGCATTGCAACAGAAGACGGACAGAAGTCTGTCAAATGTTTTACTTGTTGAAAAAGGTTTTGTAAGGCAAAGCCTTTAATACATGCTGTATTGTAACAAAGAGGTCCTAAAAGATTGGCTTAAAGGAGAACTATGAGGCGAGTGCTTTTCACTCATCCTCATAGTTCTAGCCGACCTGTGGCAATTAAACTGTCACAGGTCGGCTCAGTAGATCGGGAAGTGAGCGAACACATACCGACGTTCGCTCACTTCTTGATCCAGTCACGGCAGAGAGCCGTGACAGGGGAGTGGCTGGATTCCCCCCGCTCCGATCCTCCAGCGCTGACTGGCGGAACGGACTGGGGAGGGGGCGGGTACAGCTGGCTCTGCCTCTAGATAGGCAGAGCCAGCTGTCACCCACGCAGCTGGGCGGATCCAGACATAATTGTCGGGATCCGTTTTAGCTGTGGCGTCTCTGTATACGACTGAGCTTTGGGTGACGAGAGGACGCTAGTTTGTGTCCTCCTGTTACCCTAAGGATAACTATGGGGAAAAGCCCTAACCACATAGTTCTCCTTTAATAATGGTTGTGGTAGTTTTCCCCAGACATCACCAAATAGGCACAGCTAGACTGTCCTTTACTATGCTAGAATGCATACATTGGCAGGGCAGGTAAACTAAAACATCTGAACAAGATACATGAAGAGGAGTAGACAGCAGAGCAGAAAATGTGTGCTTTTAGGGAATTTCCTGGAAGGAGCAGAGGTTTAATCATGCGCTAAGACAAACAAGTTATCCTCAGTGATTTTTGTTGTTGGGTTAAACCGATACCTCCAGTGCAACAGGTTACATAAGCAAGATCCCAGAGACACATAAGACAGACCTACCATGCATGCAAATCTAGACCCAGGAGTCAACAGGCTGCGGTTTAGTGTCGCGTGCATCCACCAGATTGACAGTAGGCCTGTTACTCCGGGTAATGTGTTTCTTATTTGAGTCATTCTGCAGCAGCAGAAAAGGAGAAGAGAGAGTAAAACAGATATTAATGCCAGGAGAGGAGCAACACCAGACAAGGCTTGTAAGAAAAGGAATTAGTTCATACAGTGAGGAGTTATAAGAGTGGCAAAACAAGCAAAAAGAGCAACAAAAACAACAGACTAGTGCAACATTTTATAAAATACATTCAGATCAGCATTCAAATTAGGAATTACCCAAGTGATAATAAATATATTCCAAAGTTAACACCTTTCAGGTCTTGCTTGTTAGTGAACCAGGATGAGTCATGACTTAAATATATTACAGACCACTAAACCCAGTACATGTCAGTGATGTAGAAAGCCTTGTAGGATCATGGCTGTAACCAGACTTACAGGAGATGGGCTTTGCAGACGGCTTGCTTGCAAAACCGATGCAACTGTTAATTCACCACACCTCTTACAAATTTCAAGGAAAAGTGCAGGGAGAGTAAAATATACTCTGCCCACAGCTCAGAGCCGTCGCAGAACACTGCAACTGTCATGCACCGGCTCCAATACCAAGAACTGATCGTGTAAGGGCTGATCGCTCACCTCACAGTCTTCTACCTGCAGAGAACAGTGACCGTCAGTCAGTCACTTCCCCCTTGCAGGGATTCTCCTCTCCCTGTTCCTCCAGTGCTCATTGGAGGGACAGACAGGGGAGAGGGTGGGCACAGCTGGCTCTGGCTCTAGAGAGGGAGAGCCAGCTGTTAGGCAGCGGGGTGAATCCTTACAATATTGTCGAGATCTTTTTCCAAGCTGCAGTGCAGCTCTGCACAATCAGCATACAGTGGGCATTAGTCCACTACAGGCTGACTTCGGATCACAGGAGTACATTAGTAAATACATTCCTGTGACCCATAAGAATAGTAAAACAACAAAAAAAAGGTTTGGCTTTACTTCTCTTTTAAAGGGAACCAGTGAACAGAAATAAGGAAGCTTCTACAGCTGGAGACATAAGCTCATCTGAAACCTAAATATACAACCTAGTGAGTCACTGACCTGGAATGGGCATGCCAGGGGAGAGGACAACTTTTTTCAGACTTCTGACATGGAATAAGCATGCATTCAGTTAATTCTGAAAAATCTACTTTTTTCCATGTTAGTGACTTGCTAGTAATGAACTGAGGATTGGGATAAAATCCCTGTAGCCTGCCCCTTTAAGACAAGTCAACCTAAGAATTCAACTTCTTTCTGTCCTCTTTCTTCAGTTCACTTTAAATTTAGCAGCAGAGGCTCTTCAAGGTCAGTCACAAACTATACAAAATACCTGTAACTAAACTACTAAATAGACAGAATATATATTTATTTTAACAAGGTTTGCCTAGCTTAATTTATTATGGTATTTCCTTAGTCCATGTTAGTCTATGACTACCATAAAGTGTCTGTATGATGTTAAAGGTAGGTGCACTGAAGGCAACAATGAAAAGGAGAAAATTAGTATGCCATAGTGGCCAGGAAAAAACTTAGCTTAGGGCAACATGGTGTTTTAGAGTTAAAAAAACAAAAAATAAATACAATCTGTAAGATGAGTTATGAGGGCCACTTTCCTAGTGATGATGATATCAATGAGCATCTTCCACATAGACCAAGCTTAGTATTAAAACAATAAAAACAAACAAACCATTTGATGGCTCAAAGGCTAACCCATGTTTAATCTAAAATGTCAAATTTAGTACTGTAGCTCAAGAAGCCTATTCCCTTGTATTACGGTACACTGCAATTAAGGAAGCAACCATTGCATTAGATAACATGGCCCCACCTAGTGGCCAACACACAGAATGCGTCAGGACACTTTGCTTGCTCTAATCATGAACAATACGTGTTGAACGGAGAGACAGGCCTGTATTTAATGATTATATTGACCCAGACAAATGTTAAATATTGCCATTTTGTACAGGAGCTCAGAGATGTGACACCACAGCGGTGGTAGTCTGGTAATATTTGTATAAACTGAAACATTACTGCAAGAAACAAGAATTTGTAGAACTACTAAACGCATATATCGCAAGAGAAAAGGGAGGTGGATTCAAGTTTCCTGATCTAGTCATGTGAGACTTGCCCCAACTTTTCCTTTTGCTGAATTTACCCAGAAATTTAAAGGGGTGGCCAGAGGAGGAAACATTTTTATTTTGTGGCTTGGTTCCGCCCCCACCCCCTATGCTTTCAATGGTCCATAAAAGTGGTAAAAGCTCTGTCAATTAATCTAGAAAGTTAATTATGGAAATGTCTGATTGGTTATCACAAAATGGTACATTTAATATACATTCAAGGAGTCAAAAAGCACCGTCATTTGCTAAAGTGACCTGTGAGGCCTACACCAATGAGAGGAAATATTGTATACTGTATGCCATTTATATTGTAAACAAAATCAGGAATCACATAAAGGTTTTTGCTTCCGCTTATGTGTTAACTTTGTTTGAGAGAACAGATAACACTCCCCCAGCAATACACAGACTGCTACATCCATTCTCTTCTCATGGACAAAATACCTTCAGGGGCTCCTTTTCTGATAGATCTCCCATGTTTTCATTTGACCTGTACTTGCGTTCCTTGTCCCTGTGGTCAATAGTGGAATAGCCATCTAATCGGAGGAAAACAAGTTTAAGCTTTGCCCATGGAAAAAGAAATAAAATGCACTGGTAAATGAAGTTCTGTTATTTAGGCTTGGTCCAAACCTTTTGCTTTTGAAGCTTCAGTGCAATTTTAGTTGCACACCACACACAGTAAAGGAGAAGGGCACTGTCCTTAGTGGCCCTCCCCCAAACTGAGCATGATTGTTTCAAGTACCTAAACCACAGCTTCCTGAAGATCTTTGATGTGTAGTCTGCCTGGCACCACATAGCCTTGCTTCCCAGTCTTGCACCAAGTTCCCTGTGCATGTCAAACCAAGACTCCTGAGATGTCAATATAAGACCCAAAATATGCTAACATTCTTTCTGTAGAAGTACCTGGAATGTAAACAGGCAGGGGGAGAGTGCAGGACTAGGAAGGTCTTAAACCAAGGCTGCACACAGACAGACATGGAATTTGCCTGTTCTCCCTGTGCTTGCGTGCATTTCCTCCCACATTCCAAAAAGACATGCTGGTAGATTATTTGGTTTGTATCTACATTGACCCGTGTATGAGATAGAAGTATGCACGCGAGATAGAAACCTTAGGGCAAGGAATGATGTGGATGTACAATATGTAAAGGGCTGTGTATAAATAAGCACAACATTTTTTGTAAATAATCATTCATTAGTATAGCCTTGAAATATAGTGTTTATGCTGCAAAATGAGGCTGCTCTGACTGTATAATAAATTCTGATTGGCTGTGCTTAAGGCTTAAGAATTAGCTGGGTTTTGCATTTTGCAAAGCTGTGCAGTGAGTTATCAAGATGTAGTGGTGAGGGAGAGAGGAGGTCACAGACATGACATTTCTCATGGTGTCAGCTGACTGTACATTAGCTGCTCTCCTATTGGAATAAAATGCAGTAAAAGTATTAAAGAGTAATATGAGCGCATTTCAAACTGCTTAATTTTAAGGCAAAGTCCTGATTTTCTGGTTGACTGGCGTTCTTTGAAAGGTGCCTATCAGAACAAAAAAAAACATGGAAGCTGCCATTGATGAGTTGTAATTGAAGGCAGATGCTGTGGGGCTGGAGTCATACTCATTCTTTATTCACTACTCTGAGACAGTGGTCCAGAACACACATGTGAAGCATTAGGACACCTAATGTCCATACGGTTTCCAGATCATTGACTCACCAAACAGTGAAGGGAAGGTGAGGATGACAGCCCAGGAGCCTGTGTCTTCAAACACAAGTCAGTACTGGCTGCTCCTAGATTTCTATCCTGATGGTTTGTTTTTGTAAGACTAAGGTCTAGTTCCCACCAGCCCAACTGGATCGCATGCCAGCCAGTTCCCCGTGTTCTGGGGCGGGAGGGGTCGTGGTGATGCATTGAAGTCAAGGCACCACAGCCATGCCCCCTGACCGCAGTGCCATCTCCCACATCCGAATGCGTGGCACATTAAAGCCTGTGTTCCGGTCTGGTACGATCAGAAAAAAAAAATTGTGCATGCAGCATTTTTTCCTGACAGCACCAGACCGGAACGCAGCCATTGACGTGCCACGCGTCGGGTGCAGGCGATCACACAGCGGATGGGGGAGTGTGGCTGCGGTGCCATTGACTTCAATGCACCGCCACGCCCCCATCCACCCCAGAATGCAGGGAGCCAGCCAGGATGCAATCGAGTGCGTTCCAGCACCAAATTGGGCCAGAACGCACTGGGGCTTGTGTGAACTAGTCCTTAGTTTATTAAGTGAAGAGGATTGGGGTCACTGTTCATTGTTTACTTACCAGGCCCGAGTTCACCCATGGGGATCATGTCACGGCTTCCAGACTTCTTGTTTGCTGAAACATTAGAAAATGTTTATTCAGTCAGCCATTTCTACATCCTGTACATTTTACAGTAATTTTTGTAATCATTAACAGGTATTTATTATCGAAACCTTCTGTCAACAGGAATGAGAGCTCAGAGGTGTATCACTACGCTCTGGCTTAACTTCTCCCATTGTGCCCCCATAGGGGAATTTGTTAAAGCCATAGTGACAACAGGGCAGTGCTTATTTACGCCAGCAACAGGTTGCTATGACTAGAATGTAGTACCGACATACATTAAATTGTTGTCTGAGCCTAAACAATGAAAACCCAGGCCAGAAATGTCAGCACTTCCATCAAGGCTACTAATATGAAGATCCCAACATGTCAAACATGTATGTCATAAATACACAGTCAGCTGCCACCTTCCTAGGAAAGAAACTTCTTACTTTGGCTTTTATCCACCAGAGGCAGTGTGCTGTCATCAAATCCAGATTTCCCATTACCTTTCGATCCCTTAGGCAATGTTGATGTTGCAGACTGTAATGCAATACAATAAATAATTAACATTGTTTGACAAATAAGGAAGAATGAACATTCTTTGCTAGAAACTTGTTACAAGACTGTCAATCACACTGAAGTGAAGTAGAAAGGATTTCTGTCAAATACATCATGGGAACAATTGTTAGGGGAAAATGCTTCAAGATTTTATGATTATTAAATGATACCTTAAAGTACAACTGGAGAGGAATTAGAAGACCTGTCAGGTTTCTATTGCTGTCTGTGTTCCTATTAGGGAGATTCACCTTCTCCATTTCTCCTGCGGACAGTTCTCGCTAAATGTGAAAGAAAATCCCAAATTTTGGGTCACGACATAAGGGGAGACATCTTCCAATGGGGACACTAGTTCTGGTGACCCTGCTGACCACCAGGTATTTCCCTCCTACTTCCTGCTGTGGCTAATGAGCAGGAGGTAAAAGGGAATCCTCCTGAATGGGACAGAGATGGCAACAGAAAAGCTGACAGGGGTCATAACCCTCTCACTATTCAAAACTAAAAAAAATATGTTGGCTTCAGTTCTCCTAGTTTTAGCTTGGTGATTAAGATGCCTAAAAGCCACAATGTTTCCATGTTTTTGAACTATAGATATACAATTCTATAGAAAGCCACAGGGCCCTTTGGCAATTTTAACAAGGGTACTCTGCCTATATCTCAAACAAATCGGCCTGTATTACATATTTGCAAGCTCAAGAAAGCCTCAAATAGCGGTCAAAAGTGGGAAATGGGTGTGAATGAGAAAAATCCTACTTTAGTCTGTGCAAGATCATACCCGAGCACCTATCCAGTAAATATAGGTTGTGCCCCTGGATCTCATAGGCCCAGGAGTGGTTCCACTTATCTATTTACTGGACCATATGTAGAAAAGTTTCAGAAAAATAAACTAACCTACATGATATTTACTATTTAAAAATCAGGGTTGAACAAATCCCACGAGCCGGGTAGCCAATGCTCCCTAAAAATTACAACTGGCACCTACTTTTGAGGTTTTCACTAGTTGTTGTCAATGGAGCAGATTCCAAAGAAAATCCTGCCAGCTCCTGGTTTGGACAGACTGGCTCCTAAATTCCCTATTAATTTATCCAGCCCCGATTTGGATACAAGTTATTTTTCTGTGCAACCAAAAATGTATTTTTGGTGCATTAAGGCCCTGTTCACACCAAGCGTGTTCCAAGAGCAGAGCAGTTACAGACCGGATCAAAACTGCATCCAATGTATTCCAAATGGTATTTTGGGCTCTAGTTCACACCACAGCGTTCAGTTCCAGAGCATGTAAAAAAAAAATGCAGCAGCAAAACGGCCCGGAGCACGCGGCACAACCCACTGCACTGCGTGTGCAGAAACTCATGCAGATCTGCTCTGCATTTGGTGTGAACAAGCCCTAAATATTCCATTACATACAACAATAAATTCTATATTAAAATGTCTTGATTCAGAGTGATGGATAAGGAAAGATTGTGATTTATACCACAGTGTGAGCCTTTGAGTGAGAAGCCTGGATGTGTATACACTTCAGTCTGTACACAGCATGAAGACAAAATGCTTTATAGCACCACCTTGCATGTGAGCAAAGCCATCCTAATCCTGCGCAGCACTGCAGAATATAATAGCAGCTTTCACACCATAATAACATTGTAAAGGTTGCCTCTGAGAAAACACGGATAGTGGGCCAAATTGTGCCTTGGTTATGAATATCTGGAGGCAAGTCTCCATCTGATAAAGATGCCTTCTGAGACTGAGAAGCTTATATGATGCAACACTCCTCAGTGCTGCACAGTTTATTAAAAGGAGAGCAACACATAATGAGAAACAGCAGCTTGCTAAAATCTTTTCACATTACTGTCTCTGTACGATATAAACAAGTACCAGATTAACACAGAACTATTGTTTTTATTAGCAGCTTTGCATTCATCTGGCAGGAAGGAAACCATCACTGGTAAATTTAATATGAAACATTACTTTGTTAATCTTACAGCATACTGCGTAAATACATACATAGATACAGTATGAATGAAACATCCTAATACATATTATAGATTTAAAGAGGCCATTACTGCCTGCAAATTGTAGTTGCCTTGATGTCACTCTCATCCTCTGGCTTTTTAGGCCGAGGCAGCAATGATAGCCAGAGGATTTGTAAGCACCAGCCTATTTGAAATAAGTCACACAGAGATGTGCAGACGTTCTGTGAACTCTATAGGCACAGTGTTGCGTGTGTACAGCACTAAACTTTACGGGCCAACACTACATGGTATAAAATCAAACACACTGACCTCAAAACCTCCTTCAGTTCAGTGCTGACACAATGTGCATGCACACAGCACACTCTGCAGAAAGTCCAGTTAAGTGGTCATGTCTGCTCCTATTCCCTTGTGTTTTCATGTGGTCTTTATGAAGCAGGTTAACCTTACACTGCCAAAAGGTGTATGTGTAGCTATGACGGCAACCCGCAGATGCTGCAGTGCCGTCCGTCCGTTTTTTTACTACGGGCGGACGGCAAGAGGTTAAATTTGTTACCCAGCATTACAAAGACTGCATGAAAAATCTTCACAGCATAACTTCACCCAGGCTCATTAATAGTCTTCCTCATCCTGATCACAACCCAGAAGATGTAAAGTCCGCAGGGTACGAATATACTGTACAGTATTATTCCCTTTAATACAAGAATATGGAAAATGGCAAGGTATAGATTGTATCTACCAATATGATTAAGTCAATGTTAAGAAGTAACTTTGAGCTAATCAACCTCCATGCAGTCAATATCCAACTGGGTACGGGGTTATTTAAATATCTGCAGGTCATACCTGGAAGTTTGCCTTGTTCCACCCTTCCTTCTGAAGAGCATTTCGAAGTTCTTTGTAGCTCCAAATCATCTGTAGGACATGGGAAGCAGCCTTCACCTCTCTTGGAGATTGACTGAAAAAGGATAACAGGGGAAGACACAAGTTATTTTCAGGAAACCAACAGTGCACACAAAGGCCAACATATGAAAAGCGCACATAGCACATGTACTTCCCCCTCCCTTTTAGATTGTAAGCCCTCAGGGGCAGGGCCCTCTTTACCATCTTGTCTTGATTTGTACTGTGATCGTAATGTCTTCCTTATATTGTAAAGCGCTGCGCAAACTGTTGGCGCTATATAAATCCTGTATAATAATAATAATAATAATAAGTGTTTGCACCAGTATTGTGCAAACTCTCTTTCTGAATAGCAGAAATAATATTCTCCATACTAAAGTGTACATTTTGCATTTCATCACTGCCTGCTTTGCGTCAGATACCCTACAACTATTTAGTTACTGCAAAGTGTCCTGACTTCTATTACAAAGCACTCCACACTTACAATATGCCAGAAGGGATTACTACAAAAATGGAAACATTTCACAGCTCAGGTGCTAAAGCTGCAGATTCTTCAAAGCTGCGTTTCCCCAACCAGTACTGACGGACTAACAACTGGTCATTTTTAGCAGATCTTTTCCCAGAACTATAGGTGAAACCAGTGCTCTTCATTTAAACTGTGTCTAATGACCACAGCAATACAAGTCTCTGGAAGACTAACTAGCATGACATGTTCGTGTTTTATGAGGACCAGGATTGGGGAAACAGCGGTACCGTGGCACAGGCAACTCTAAAGAGTAGAGATAAGGTAAGCACAGTCAAAGCAAAAGGGTGGGGCGGGCAGAACAAAAATTGTATACCAAGAATCTCTTCCATTTCAGGAAACGCTGCCTCTGGAAATCACAATGTTTTCTTAGCCCTACTACACTTCACTGCAGTGTTCGCAAAGATGAGAGTTTAAGAAGGTCTTGAAATTGGGAAGCGAATTCATCTTTGATTGGATAACAGTATTTATTCAATCAGTATCTTCCACTACTGTTAAACACCATTTGACTATCTAGTTTTAGAATGCAATATGATCACCTTGATTTGTTAATAGTGATGAGTTTTTCAATTCCCTGTGTCTGGATGAGAGAACGTGCATTTTCTGAGCTGTCTGTGACTATTTCATGGATGGTATTCAGCACAGCTACGACAGTGTCTTCCTCCAAGTTCTTGGCAGGACGCTGCTGCCCTCCAGGCAGGTTTCGCACCAATTGACCCATGGCATAGTTGCCTGAAGTAGAAAGAGATATTACACAAAGTGTTATTGTATTATATATGTATATATGGAGAGGACTCTGGTCTGAACTACTGTGAATTGGAGGATCACCAAGTGGTTGACGCATAGCACTTTTTCAATCCTCCTATTTTATATTTAACAGTCAAATAAAAAGACAGTTAGCTGTGCGACGCGCTAAACTATGACCAACGTGCATTAAATCACCACATTCAATATTTACCAATGATTAAACAATTTAAATATTTCAAACTAGGCTAGGAAAGGGAATATTTAGATCTTTCAGTCTGGTCCCTAGATTGTTGCTTGAAAACCAGAACTTTTCATCTGTGCTATGCACAGACAAATGAGTCAATAAGTGGATACCCACAGAAACCATACTTTAGGTTGAAAAATAAAAGCTAGTGGTTGACTGAATACTGGGAGTCATAGCTTCACCTAGCCTTCATTCTTTATATATAGTTGTGCTCAAAAGTTTGCATACCCTTGGAGAATTGGTAATATTTGTACCATTTTTTAAAGAAAACATGAGTCAGCAGGCAAAAACACATTTCTTTTATTTCTTATGGGATTCATATTCATCTGTAGGTCATAACAGAATGGCACAATCATAAAACAAAACATGGCAACAAATAAAAACATGAAATTACCACTGTTCCGAAGTCTGCATACCCTTAGTTCTTAACACTGTGTATTGCTCCCTTTAGTATTAATGATAGCGTGCAGAGTTTTGTAATAGTTGTCTAGGAGGCCCCAAATTCTTGCAGGTGGTATAGCTGACCATTTATCTTGGCAAAATGCCTCTAGGTCATGCAAAGTCTTTGGTTGTCTCGAATTAACCACACGAGACCTATTTTGACATCCTTTTCCGTCTTTATGAAGTTCCACTGCCTTGTTACGTAGGTCTTTTGACAGTTCTTTCCTGCTCCCCATGGCTCAGTATCTAGCCTGCTCAGTGCATCCATGCGAGAGCTAACAAACTCATTGACTATTTATACACAGACACTAACTGCAACTTAAAAAGCCACAGGTGTGGGAAATTAACCTTTAATTGCTATTTTAAGCAGTGTCACCTTGTGTGTCTGTAACAAAGCCAAACATTCCAGGGTATGTAAACTTTTGATCGGGGCCATTTTGGTGATTTCTGTTCTTATGATTTAAAAAGAAGCCAAACCACTATGTGATAATAAATGGCTTCATATGATCGCCATCCTCAAATAAAAAGACACATTTGGCATGATCAGATATATTTTCAATATCAATGCCAAAATTTCAGGATTTCTGCCAGGGTATGCAAACTTTTGGGTTCAGCTGTATGTGATCCAGTACTGGAGCAGGAATAAAGTTAGTACACATTTTATTTAGGGACATTTTGATACATGTTGCAAATTCTGACTGACCAGCCTGCTGCTACAGAAAAATTGATTAGTGCTCAAACCTGTGACCAAATGTCACAGATTCAAAAGGTTGACCTAAAAATAAAGGTGAACATATTTTACAGCACAGCTTAGGCCTGAAGACCACCAAGTGCAGGACCTAACTTTCTAAATGAAAGTCACAGTACAGTATTCAAAATCAGATCACAGTTTACCATGAAAAATTACATCAGGAAACTGAAAGTACTAAGGTGACTGGTGGAAATAGAAACAATGTTGCTGTGGACCACGAGGACTATTGTGTCATGCAGGAAACTATCAGCACCATAACTGACCAAACATAGTGCACACAATTAAACAATTTCAAGTTTAAAAAAATACCACCGTTTAAACTGACCTAATTAATGAAGACACTCACCGATTAAGTCTTTGTTGCGTCTGTCCATAGAGAGGTTTCTCAGAGCTATGGCCACAGCTCTAACCACTTTGTCTGAGTCTGACTGAAGCAGCTCCACAAGCACCGGCAAGCCTCTTTCTTTGCGGACTGTAGCACGAATATAGGTTGACCACTGGAAGACAGAGTAGAACTTTTATTAAATCCCCTTATACAGAATGTTACAAGTGTTAAGGTGGGCACACACCTTACGATTATCGGACGACACTTTTCGTCCAATGATCGAACCGTCGTACGATTGTCGTACGGCGGCCCCATTATGCCCCAATTAGCCATAATTAAAGAAAAGCACCTGGACGAATTGCGGTAATCAATTTTCGTTTGCGCATGAGCAGTGTAGATCGTACGATTTTTGACGTACGGGAAACGCCACTAACCTTGCATTAATCGTACGATCGGCCAAAGTTTTCAAACATGCTTGAAAGTTTTAAGTCGTACGATTGTACAGTATTTACAGTTGCACACTGCCCACACCCCTTGCGATTATCGGACGAAAAGTCGATCGCATATGGTTATCGGACGATAATTGTAAGGTGTGTGGCCACCTTTAGCAGTAACGTGAATGCTGCTTTCTACAACAATTTGGTACATTTAGCTATAAGAAATGTGGTATGTGCAGCGTCTTACCTTACAATTGCTAATGATCTTTCACACTGCTTATGGTACTACTCTACTTCAAACAATATTATTCCAGACCTGAGAAATATGGGATAGTAGAATATGATAATTTTAAATGCTCTACACAAGCTCACTGATTGGCAGTGCTGCAAAGTAATAATTTATTCCACAGCGAAGAACACAGAGTCCGCTAGCTGTAAAAGAGCTGCATCTGGGGCTCCAATATGGATACGGGTAGAAAATGACACTACTTCTATAAACTTTAGCACCTACCAGGGATGAAACATGACTGTCCTAAGCTGGGCGCACACCTTACAACCATCGCAAGACTTTTGTCTTGCGATGGTTGTAAGGTAATTAAAAAAACGTACGCTCTGCCTATCTTGGACAGGCAGATCGTACTTGTGATGAAAAATGTGGATTTCCCATTACGCTTTACGCTAGCATCGCTAGGACAAATAGAAAAGGATGAATCTCCTGAGTGGGGAGATTAAATAAAATGTTTTGCCTTTACCTTCGACTTTAACCAACCCAACCAAATCGGATTTCATGTATAATGGGAGTTCCATGAATTCTCTTAGTTGGAGATTAATCCTGAATGCCCATTAAAAATACAAACATACAACTGAGGAAAGGGATGAGAGTAGATTATTAATCTCTGGAAAATTAAACGTGAATAAGGCCAGCGGGGAGCAGTCAGGGTGTAAGCTGAAATTTGTACTGATAATTAATGCAAATTTACACTATGGAAAAAAATCCATGGCACTTAGTACAACTAAAAGTATGACAGACTGCTCCATCCGCCTGACAATAGCCTCGCTCCTCATTTCTCTGAGGGCATCTTTATATGTGACGGATCATCAAGCTGAACCTTCAGCAGTAAAACTTCTGAGCTGAGCAAGTGTGAGGCAAATATGGCAGGCTGAAAGAAAAGGATTGTGAAAAAAAGCAAAAAAAAAAAGCAGACAGCATTGGAATGGCCATTCCATCGTGAATACCACCAGGATCCTGAAAATAACCATTTATCACGACAATATATGAAAACCTCCTCACACTATTGACATTTCTGGAACTTTGATGTGTGGTCAGGATAAAGTGGGCAACATTATAGTTAGTAGTCCCTCCCCCCCCAGGTTGCTAAAGCAGAAATCTGTGATGTTGAAAAATACTACCAACCCTATTCCACCATTTTAAATATCTTCTATCCTTCTAGTCTCCCAAAATCTGTATATATTTAACAAGGAGCATTCTTGTACATAAACCACTTCATGAAAACTGGGTTTATGTACAGCAGTCCCTTCTTTGAAACCCACAGGGCGACAGGGATACTAATCCTTCCCTGCTAGGTTTTTGGCTTGACATGCACACACAAAAAAAAAAAAAAGTTAGTACTTAAATGCATATACAGGTAAAGAACAAATACTGATGATAGCTGAATGGACAGTAGTTCTGACACATGCTCACTGCTGGACATAGGGTTAGTAGGGTTTTTTTTCCTTCACCTCGAGTGTTAATGTTACATAAAAACCAACGATGTGATTTAACAGTCGCTCATGCGTGCAAAACTGCTGACTGTTAGAAAGTGGGGAAGGTCACCATGAAATTCTCCTGAATGAGAGGCTTTGATTTGAAGCCAGTTGGTGCCTACTTACAGTCCAGTTGCCAGCGCTCAGATTCTGCAGAGCTCCTGCTGCGGCCTCCAGTGTGTTGTAGTTTTGGCTCTCAGTCAAGATAGAAAGATATAATCGTACAACCTCTGGCTGGTACAAAAGTTCAAAACCTAAACAAAACGAAAAGAATAAAAAGTTGGTTACATGTCTATTTTTCCTTTCAAAGGAAAGTAATCAGGGACATGTTGCATTCAAACACTTTCACTGATGTGCCGCTGCCCCCCCCCCCAATGTACTGGCACAACATAACAGAAATGCTAGGTATTCATCTGTGCTGGTTAAAAAAAGAAAGAAAGAAATGTCCACTTTTATAAACTGTTTTAGGACTGTTATAGTATTCTAATCCTAAAACAGATGAGAAAAGCTGATAGGGAGCAGGTGACATATAGGGTCAATGTTGCACATAGTGTATGGGTCAGCTACCCTTTTAACCACTTGGAAAGGTTGGGAGACAAAGTAAAATGTCTCTTTAAAAAATAAAATTCTAATCAGCTAATTTTCTTTAGCCAAATTACAATTGGAAATAAAATCTGGTTGTTCAGAGCAGACACTTTTCATTCGCATAAATACACCCGTTACAAGATTAAAGTAAATTAAACAAATTGCATCAATCTAATTTTACCTGAACCAAGACCAAAATTTTAGTTCTCCAGTTATTTTTCCAGATTGTAATACACAAGCCTTCCCTTTGACTTTCCCACACTTGCCAACCAAGTCTATGACATATGGCAATGCCGCCACAAGAGGGCAGTAAAGACATTCTTATGCATTGTCTCAAGGTCACAGCCAAGGAATGTTATGCACCAAGATATCTGTAATTTCCCAGGGTTTCCATCAACATTGTTTGAACCATTGCAGGCAAAAATAATATTGACCAATGAGCTAAACAGGGTTAAAGCATATGTAAACGCTAACTGAATATCATTTAGTTTGCTAAAGCACAGTGCATCAAATTGGATTTTGTTTTTAAATATAATTCATTTGTCATTTGCCATTTCTTGTCTACATATACTCTATACCCTCTACTAATTGCTGCGTGTGGCATTTCTATGGGCGGATTTCACGATAGGGACAATGGTAGACCACATCTGCACAATGCGTGTTGGCACATCGGCTTGTAATCGCCAATGGGAGTGACGGTGACAATGCAGGAGATCAGAACAGTGTTTTGTCACAACCTAACATGATTTCAATGAAAGCTATAGATTTAAAAAAGGAAAATGACTTTTGAAACGTGTGTAAATGTGTTAAATTACAAATGTTCATAAATGAGTTCATGTATACTTTAAAACTAAACAAGAAAAACAGGCTCTCTCAAACAAAGCAAATGATCTTTTGGAACAGACAATGGTTTTGGAGCCAAAAGCAACACTAACTTGACACTAAATGGGAATCTTAGCTTCAAGGCAAACTACTGCATCCAACCCTGCAAAGTACTTCTAGAGAGACATTGAACTATTAAAACAGATCCAGAGAAATGCCTTTCATAACAATGGAATTCAACTGTCTCCCATAAAGATAGGAAGTTTTCGTGCAGCATGGCTTGCAAAGACTTCCCAAGTAGTTGGGAATGGATAATAGAATGTGGTTAGTAATATAGGACCATCGAGACCCTTCTAAGGATTGCCTTAAGTCGGACAATAATGGAAATTGTTGCTGAAAGTAACAAATATGCTGCCATTGCCGTCCTCTACTAGATTTGCTACATGCTTGGCTGTAATGCCGATCTCAAGGGCTTTAATAGTTAGTAGTTTCTTGCCTCACTAGCTGCATATTTGTTTGGGCTAAATTATCAAGAAGATACTGAAACCAGAGAAAGCCAGGAAACTATCACTTTCAAAATGGTGTCAGTAATGGTAACCAACACACTTCTAAGATTCCCACTTACTAAAATCTACTGGAGGTCCACCCTTCCTAGCCCCCTAACCTAGTCTCCCACATTCCAACATTTAATTTGCCTTGCTGCGAGAGATGCATTCTCCAATGTTTACCTCCTTTGGGCAAATATCTTCTTAAGAGCTCTTGTTGACTTGAAAAGCGTGTCCCCCGATTTGGAGAAAGGCTCAATTCAAGTCTACCTGCAACAGCTTCCATAAATCTGCCCTTATGGCCAAATCCTGGAGCATTTTTAAAGGAAGGCTCCAAAACTTCTAGATTATGTTGAAGCTTGCCCATCCCTTCTTGCTTCCTGCACATTGCTAATGACCAGTGAGGCAGTCCATCATAGTAGTGGGCCAACAGGAATATGTAGGGGGGGAGGGTGTAGTGACAAGCTCCAACACTACCCTAAAGTGTTGGCACTTTACCTGACAGCCTGGCCTAAGATTCAGTCCTAATAGCAGGTTGTTGCTGCTGAGAAGATTTTCTGGAACACACACTATAGGAGTGCTCTCTGTGGACTTTCTGGTACTGGGGCTGTCATCCCAGTTCTGGCTTTACTACCTACAGAGTCACTAACAAAGCCTGTTCTCCTTAAAACACAAAATCAGCAATGGAAAGTATCATACTTTAATTATTAAAAGTTTACTTAAGCATAGGCAGTTCTTTCCCCTTTGTTTTGGTGCACAGTGATTGTGCTTCCCCCCAGTGCAATCTCATCAGTCTGCACATGCTGACTGAAATATTATAATCTAACGTGTCCTGTAATTTATACATTTCAGCAGCTATCCAGTAAAAATGTTGATTCTATTCGAAAGACAGAAATACAGGACAAAAATCAAGATCTTGTACATGCCATCAAGAAATTTCAGCACAAAAAGCATGAGACTGAGAAAACGTGTGTTCAAGGAAAGTAAACTGTAGTTTTCCAGAGTGTGAAGACACTCAATATATAAAAAGGTCCCTAGGTAAAGTCATACTTTCAGGTCGGTTATCTGTGAGAATTCAAAGCCATACTTCCAGAACCTCCGACAATCTGGCCTGCGGCAGGAAAGACCTTTTATCAGTCCATCAAAGAATTGTTTTAAATGTTTTATAAATATACTCACTTTGCTGAAATGAGGGAGATTTTGGTGGGATCCTGAAAACTATTGAAAAATGAGACATCCATAATATAGACCAATAATAATACTAAACGTTCTATGTTCTTGTTTTCAGAGAAAGAATTTTATACACACAAGTCAACAAGTTATCCAACAAAGCAGGTAACCCAACTGCAGATTCACCGGTTACATTCTACATTCCCAAGTGATAACAGATGCAAGCATTGCTTACAGCAGGGGAAGGCAGCCTTGGCACTCCAGCTGTTGTGGAACTACAAGTCCCATGAGGCATTGCAAGACTGACAGCCATGACTCCCAGAGACAGAGGCATGATGTACTTTCGCCGCAGTTGGACTGCTGCTGAGGTTGCCTACTTCTGGATTGAGTCAGCTAGAGGTTTCATAGGAAACATCATGGCTTGCAGATCCTGGTAGGGTAGTAAAGCAGCACAGCGTGGGTTGTGAGGATGGGGTGGGGGAAGTGTCTGGGGTATCTTTCCAGCCATCACAGTTAAGCTGGGTATACGTTGGTAAATTTTAGAACGAACTTTCATCAGAAAAAAAAAAAAACTCAGAACATTAGGTCATTTGAGACCTGACATTCGATTTTGGGATGAATGGACTTCCTTAAACAAAAAGCACATTTACTGTTAGAAATTGTTTCTGGAACAAACTAAATGTTATCCTGCTCCTTCACTGACATCACTACAGTCAAAAAACATCTTCGACTTGACCCCATTAACCACTGGAGAACTGAACGAACATTTGAATTTCTATTGGTGTACAGCCAGCTTTAATAAAAATACATCCTCAACATAGCTACAAACTGTCCCTGATTTAGATGGACTATCCTTTTGGCACCTTTTAAATCTGTATCTGTTCTCATGCTCTGCAGAACTTCTGTTTTGCAGCAGACTGCCTTGTCTCAGGAATGTATACACGGTGTCTGTGTGTAGGTTTGTATAGGCTTGTAACCTGAGCCAGCACTACAGGAAGAGGCCCTGAGCTGAAAAGGGAAGTTTTCCCCCAGCATGAGAAAACATGAGGATTTAAAAGGAAGAGGAGCAAAGAGAAGGGAAACAACCATGGATTACACTAAGGCACACATTACAGTATTAGTTTATGTTAAAAAATCTGAGGGTTTAATGTCACTTTAAGTCTGACACACAAACTGATGTAAATACTGCAAGCAGTCCCAAAATGCTCACATATTTTCCCCAGTTTCCTAATCTTCTTCATGAACATTCCCTTTCACAGACAAAGCACAAGTTTAAATGAAGGTAACCCGAGGCTAAAGCTGAACGATAACGAAAACACAATGGGCACGTACACATCCTGGGAGGCGTTGTATTTTATGACTTGTTGTTTTCCATTCACTCTGTCTGCAAGCAGCCCCCTGCTATTGTTTATGTATTTAGACAAGGACCCAGAGCCCCAGACCCTACATTCTTGGGCACGCAGCCACCAAACAAAATTGTTTGCAGCAGAAACTCAGACGCCCTACAACTCATGAGGAAGCAAACAGGTTAATGTACCAGCTGTTGAATAACTTAACACCAAATACCATAAAGGTTCATAGAAAGAACTTGCTTCAATGGTTGTTAAATTCCCAGCACTGTAAGCTGGCCATACACTGCTAGAAATTCATTTGAGCGTTCAAAATCGTTCAGAGCATTCCATCTTGTCATTGAGTCAAATCCTTTCTTTTAAAACCCCTAAAATGTTTGTCCAAGCCCGCTACTTGAATGGAATTCTGAGCATATTAAAAAGGTTCCTTTTGTATGATTTTTCCCAAACTAAAATAACATTCACGGTTAAAATTTTGGTGGTTCAAATAAAAACAAGAGTTCCATTCTGCACCCTAAATTCCTTTTCACTATGGTTGAAAATTAACGTTGATTAGGCCACAATAACCATTTGAAAATGGAATGAACATTGTGAAAAACCCAGCATGAACATACCCTCTACACACCCATCTTCACAATCCCCACCCATCCCTATTCAAGAATCAGAATTAGTGCTTGGAAAACACCAGGATAGTCCTCAGACAGCACAAAGAGCATCTGTAGGGTTAACTACTCCATGAGTAGTAGTAGTAACAGTAGTAGTAGTAACAGTAGTAGTAGTAAC